CCTTTGTTTTTCAAAAGAGAAATCCTACCCATGTCCACACTAGATTGGTAGCTGTGAATGTCATTTGAGTAAAGGCAGCCCCATTCTCATTAAAATGCAAGCCCTAACCAGAGCAGTGTGGGTGCTCTTGGAAATCATCCATTATGGTTTTAAAAACATCAGTGGTGCTGAGTTTAAACTCATTTGCAGAAATGGAGTAAAGAGTTGTGCCAAACTGTTCATTTGCAATATGTACACAAAGGAAATGATTTGACTTATTTCAACTTACATTTTTTGATGTTTTTATTAAAGAGTGTGTCAAGGGTGTGCAATGATTACTTGAATTCTAGCAGAATTGTTATGTCTGGGATTACTTTCTGGTTCTTGCTAGTGGCCTGTGCTATTTTTTCTTTATTTTAAGGGGATTTTGGCTAAAAACTCGTAACAGGTTGTCCTCATTTTTGTAACTGTAGGAGAAAATGCAAAGCTGAGTGATGCAATTGAATTTTTAATTGCAAAAGCTGCAGTAAGTGTGGAAGTACTTACGTATACGTGTGTGAACATGTACATACAATTATCCAAAAGGCCAAAGCATCTTTCTCAAACTTGATTTTTTCTGCAGGAAAAAGCCTACCTGTATGACAATTTAAATATATTTTGTAATGTTTTCAGTCTTTCACTTTTGAAGGGTGTTTTGGCATGCAAAGAAAAGGCATTTTTCTGCCTTTAAAATTTTCTTTATACACTGTTTTTCCTTCCCCTTTCTTTTCTTGGCACTGAAAAAGATAGATAGGGGATGCTTGAAAAGTGTGAAAATATGTATAACAGTTGTTTTCAGTGTAGTGGAAACTTCATGTATATGAAATTATTTTTAGTTTTAAATGAAAAACTTCAAAGAGACAAAAATGATTGACTTACTACAATTTCAAGTGGGTATTTTTACTATGAAAACTTTCAACAGAGTAAAAGTAAGCCTGGTACTCTAGCCAGGAAAATGCCATTTTGATATCTTGGTGTTAATTTTAATCAGCTTGTTAAAAAATTATGTACTAAGTTCTACTTCCTAAGGAAATGGATGTTCTCATTAAGAAATGGATTCAATTTTATGGGGCTACTCAAAATTGATTTTATTTTTGCTTTAGGTCCTTATCTCCAGCTTTTAGGAGTCCAGAGCACCATAGGCAAAGGCATGCTCATATTAATTACGACTGTGAATATAAAAGCTTTCGTAAAGACCCAAAAAAGTCTATGCCTTGGAGAATAGAAGATGAAAAATATGGACAAAGCAATTCCAGGTTTGCACCTCATGGAAATAACCACCAGAGAATATATGAACGTAGGTCACCTTCACCCAACCTGAAAAGAATTCCCATGGAAGATGCTTACAGTCATAAACCCTACAGAACACATTCATCTGAAAGGCCTGAAAGCAACAGGAGATGCCAGATACCACCAAAATACTCTGAAGTACCTTACAAAGAGCATGATCGTCCCTTTTACCAGCACAAAATGGAGGACAGATACATGTTTGATCACTACAAACTCACTGGAAATGAGAAAGGAATGAAACCTTTTCATAGACCATTAGAGGCTTCATGCAAACTTGAAAGAAAATGGCATGAAGATGACTTGAGGCACCAGAGGTTACACGAAGAGAAGTACGGTCAGTCACCCAGAAGAGTTTCTGATGAATTTACGGCAAGGAGCTCTTTACAGAAGAGGTATAGGAATAAAATAATTAAACCCTGGGTATTGTGGTGTAAAGCCTCAAGTCTGTTTTCATTATAGTTGAAGATATCCACCTTGAAACACGTTGGCCACTTTGTAGGTTAATTATGGGCGACTGGTAGTAGTGAAGTATTTGTCTTTTAAGTAAATCCTATTGCTGGCTAGAGTATGAAAGGATAATGTGTCCCTCTTAAGAGCCCCTGCACATCTGTACCTTGGCCTGAGGGATTATGGGTTAACTTGCCACGCATTCTGCTGTCCAACATTCTGCACATATAAGTTCTCACTTTCTTCTCTAGTGCAAGTGTAAATTGCTTTATGTCAACACAGGTATCCTGAAGATCACGATTACAGAGAATATGGGCACACGTCTAAAAGGGCTAAGGAAATGGAGAGGTATGACGGTGGAGATGTAGCAAGAAATTCCAAGTGGAAGCAAGAACGTTCTTTTCCACCCTGCCAGGAAAAGGAGGAGCAAAGATATCCAGGTGCCCAGTCCCAGCGGCCGGCTGAGAGGGAGCACTTGGGGGGTTCTGTCACTAAGATAGCCTATGAGTACAGTCACAAACGGCGCAGGCATCCCGATGGGGAAAAGCCTTTTCCAGATGACAGAGCTCAGAAATACGTGAAGCAGGAAGAGCAGAAGTACAGCTCTTCTAAAGGTGCCCGGAACAGCAAAGAGTTGGATTATTTTAGTGCTGGAAGAGCCAGACGGACTGAAGAGCGGCACGTTGAAGAACCTGTTAAATACAGCTCCAAGAAGAGCTGCAATGCTTGTGTTAACTCTTCCAAAACGGATGTTGAGCTGAGATCTTTTAAAAACAAACTGAATGAAAGAGTGAGGAAAGAGGGGGAGCTGAGGAAAAACGTGGATTCCTCCAATAACCAGCGTGATTCAAGTCATACTGTTTCAGATGTGAAAATGTCTGATGCCAACTGTATGAGAGAACGTCTCACAGTCAAAGTGGATATGAAGAAAATGGGGACCAAGTACAGGTATTGGTTTTGCTTCACCTCTGCTTTCTTCCTGTCTCTTTAACAGTTTATGAATATTGGAGGAAAGCATGGGGTTTTCAGGAATTAACCATTAATTAGTTTAATTTTTAGTTTTAATTTCTTTTAAAATGGTAACTTTCCTGTATGGGCAAGTTAACTATTAAATCTTTATTAAAACACTATTAAAACCAACCAACAAATAAGACCAATCAACAAAAACCAATGTTTCCTGGAGATGTAGGAAGTGAAAAGAGCAGATGTGCCTCATAACAAAGCTGTAGTTAAAAGATGGTTGTGATAAGTAAATGTTTTATTTTTATTTAAAAACAGAACCCCCCAAGAAACAAAACCCAAATGCAGCAAACCCTAGTCCTGTGCTTTCATCTGAAATACCATAGCATTTTTTTTAAATGTCACTCTTTCTTTTTTCTAAAAATCAGCTAACCTTTAAATTCATAAATCTCAGGCACATATTCAAGATCTCAAGTTCAGTAAAACTGCCAAAAATGACAGATCTCTGAGTTGTCATTTATTGTTGTAGCAAAGTGGCAACCTGTTGAGGCATCAGAACTGAAAAGCAGTAGAGTCTGCTTATATCTATCTTCTGTGTAATTCTTGTGTTTTCATTTAGCATTTCCAGTTGCATTGCTGGCTGCAATATAAGAAAATGGCACTACTATGAAACTTTAGATGATAAACACATGGTAGTGAACAAGCAGCTTGGTTTTGATAGATTCTTGCAGAGTTTTCTGCTTTGTTGACTTTCTGTTGCTGACCAGAATATCTTATATTTGTAGTAATTGGTTTTGGAAGAGATTATCTTCCATCCCAAAATGATCAGCCTTAATTTTAAAGGTATGTTGCCTCTTGTCCCAAATAAAACATCTGTATCAGTTTTTTTTTTTTCTCTTTGCACTGTTTCAAAAATACGTAATGCAATGGAGAGTTACAAAGACAAGTTACTGCATGTAAGAGGTTAAAATTAAAAACTGAGGAAAGGGAGGTGGAGTAATGCCCACTCCCACCATTGCATTAGCACAAGGATTTAACACTGAATGATAATTTAAGGAAAATTGTTGGGTTTTGTTGCAAACCCACAGAATGATTCCTCTATCTAGTAGCCTCTTGCTGCTGTTTTTGAAGGTCATGCAAAATGGACATGGCAATTGTTTGCAGACTGAAAAAAAACAATACATTGATTACAGCTACTTTAATATGTGGATGCAGCCAGAAGGGCTAATATTTTATTTTTTCAAATATAAGAACATTAGTTTTATAAAAGCTTATGACTTGGAGTATTCATGCTGCCTACTTTAGGCATTTAAGAAACACACGACTTGAAATGACTCAGTTAAGAAGAATAGTTTCTTTATAAACCTGGGGAGCAAATAGATAGTTCAAATATCTAAAACTGAGATTGCTTGGATTCCTTCTTGCATTTATTTATTTCCACTGTGCTAGGGGAAAATTGATGACTTGTGGCATCTGCTCCAGGCTATTTCTGATACAATTTTTGTATGGATTTCTAGTCTTGTATGCTTTTAATACAGGATGGCCAGGTACATAATCACTTTGCAGAATAAACAATTAAAAGTCTTTATTCTAAAAGCTTTTACATGAGCTCTTAGAGTCCTTAATTTATCTTTCACAATGACAGGCATTTTTCTTGCAACAAGAGCAAGTAGTGTTGTTGAGGTGTTGGCTTTCTTGTCAAAATAATTTTTAAGCAGCAGTGCAACCATTTGGAGTGTAAACTTTTAGAATGAGTAAAAATTTACAAAAATATGGTAAACAAGTTCTTAAGTTCACATGCTGCTACTGAAGCAGTTTCACTAGGCTCAAGTGATGATTCAGTTCCCAAAGATGTGAGACTTTTTTTTTTTTTATCTCTGAACTGTTCTTGAAAATTGCCTGGTAGTTCTGTATAAACAAGACACAGGCATAATTGCCTTCTAGGATTATTCTAAAGAAATCTGTCAGGATCTTCATTTGCCTGTATTTGATAATGTAGTTGAATTAAACTTAAAATTCACAGATTTTGTGTTGCATAGTTCACGGATATAAAGATTCCTGAGACTGAAATAATATCTTTGTATTTTAGTATAGATTTTCTGCCTTATGGCTTTAGTAGTATTTTAATTTTAAAAAGGAACAAAATGAGATTTTGGCTTTTAATCCTGTTTATTCCTAAAATTAACTTCCTTATTTATTGTTTTACACTACTTGTCTATTCCAGGTTTTGAGATTTAGATAAATGCTTTAAAATAATTCACTATAATTTTTTTTCTAGGACTGCTTCTAGTCACACTACAGAGAGACAGATGTCCCATGATCTGGTTGCTGTTGGCAGAAAAAATGAAAATTTCCATCCAGTGTTTGAGCACATGGAATCTGTAACACAAAATGTTGAAAACGACCCATCAAGAGAATTTACTCAGGAAATAATCACAATTATTCATCAAGTCAAAGGTGGCTGTAATATTTGGCATAAATGAATGTGTTTATGTGTATATAATTACTAAACCCAAAGCTAGCAGTTTAGATATGATGTCCCTGTAAATCTCAGGTGTTTGCCATTGGCTTCATTTATATTTGGTTTCCCAATATATTTATATATATATTTATATATATATATATATATATATATCCCTATATATATATTTCATTTATATTTGGTTTCCCAATACATTTCCCAAATATTTAAAGAAAATGTAGGTTGAGGATTTAAAGTATTTACTTTATAGTAAAATCCTGGGTGGAGGATGACTTCAAGAAGGCCTTAGGCCATAAGTGAGGCATTATTGTGGAGATTAAAGATCAAAATGATTTTATGGAAGCATGTGAGAGTAACCTGCTTGTTTAAGAAACATGATAGGAAAAAAGGAGCTTTGCTGTAATCACAACTCTCTAGTTATGTATGGTTCCTTTAATTTTTAAGATTAGTGTTTAGGCAGCTGCATTTTGTTCAGTGTTGAATTTTATAGATTTTAGTGATTTGAGTACTGCCATGGTAGAGCTGGGGATGGAGTTTAATCTTATCAGATAAGCTTGTCTGAGTTGGGCTGGTCTAATCTTTCATTTATGAATAGTAAACTGCAAGTGGAAATAGTTTAAATTTTCAGTAAATTGTGATATCCTTAAGAGTTAATCTTTCAAAAGAGATATTCCCACTGTGCATTTCAAACACTACAAAAAACATTTTTGTGTTTAATATCTTTTCACAGCAAATTATTTTACATCTTCTGACATAACTCTACATGAACGGTTCTCAAAAATTCAGGATAAATCAAGTGCAAATACAACTGACGTTAAAATACATTTGGATCCAGAAATTCACAGGTAATTGTTGAACATTTTGTCTTAATTTACCTTTTTTCTTGATTTACTTGCATTAAGGTAATTGAACTTCAGTAGACTTTACACAGTGTGAAGGTTTTATATATTATTTTAACCTGCCTGTATCTTTAAAACATTCTGTTGCCTGGTCAAGAATGCTTTTGTTTTTATAGTGATGGCATTTGTTTTTATAGTGATGGCATTTGTTTTTATGCAATATTTTTATGTTCCAGGAGGATTGACATGTCTCTAGCAGAACTTCAGAACAAACGAACTGTGCCATCTGATTCTCCTCAGGTATCTTGATTGCTTCACTTTGTTGGGAAGCAATAAGTTAAAATTATAAATGTAAGCAAGGTTTCCCCCTTGCTGTTGTTACAAGGGGGGAATTATTGTTATAATCTTTGCATCCTGTGAAGACTGCCAGTAATTCTGAATATTTTGAAAAAAATGCACACCTGAGTGTGTTTACAGATGTAAGTGTACTGTGTTTACTGCAGAGTAAAACACAGATATGTTTTCCAGAGCAGCTGGAATGTTTTTATTCCTGCTGCTTGAACAGGTCTGTTTTGAAACAATGTAAATACTGAAGTGTGATTCTTATTTTTGGTGTGAGATTACCCGAAGCCTTAATGTTTCTTCTGCCCTAATGTTACAATGACTCAAAATCCATGTAATTCCTCAGAATGCTATTTTATCCCCTGCTTTCACCTGGGGTTAGAAGATTTTCAGTCTTGTCCTTTTGAGCTCTGCAGCCATGATTTAGTCACCATTCCTTTTCTGTAGTACAGATATTTGGAGATTCTACTTGTTTAAGGCTTGTAGAACTTCTCAAGAGTTACTGACACTTCCATGAATAAGCCTTGGCAACTCCATGCAGAATTCCAGTGCTCTGTTCACTGTTGTTTGGAAATTTGTAAAAGGGCAAGAAAAGAGAATTTCTTAGTTATTGCTTTAGACTTTGGATCTTTGGGCTGGTGTGAGTTTGTTCTGTGTGCTGACAGTTGAATTGTGCTGCCCCTGAAGGACAAAAATCAGCTTGGTGTTCATTTCTTAGCAGCTAACTCAGCTTCAACCCTTTCTTTAACCAGAACATTGTAAGGGTGTTGGAAGATCCCAATGATCTGCGCTATGATATAGAAAGGAGAAGAAAAGAGAGATTGAAGAAGGATGATGAGAGAGTGTTTCATGTAGATGGTGTCACTCCAAGGTAATGAGCAAATAATCTTATTGGGCCAAGCCTGTTATTCCCTTCTGTGTTCAGTTTTTGGGCTCTTCTACTGTTACATTTATTGTGATTCTTTACCACAGTTTTGCCTTCAAAGTTTGGCTGGGACTCAAATTAAACTGAAATACATTGCAAACTACTCTGTAATTACCTTGAAAGAAGTTAAACTGCAGTGGGAAAAAATGAAAAGCAAGCACAAACTGTAGCACTGAATGTGGAGAGGGGACAAAATTAGTTTAAAAATGCTGAAGTATTTTTGAACTCCTTGAAGAGCCACATAACATTTTCCTGGTATTTTGTAATTCTGTAAAAGCATTCTAGGATAAATACATTGTTTTGTTGCCCTGATGTTTTAGTAATGAAATGTGGAATATTTTATTTATTTTATATATAATATATATTCCACAAATAACTGGAATTTTTCTCATTCTTGGAGAATTTGAAAAGTCAGATTTTTGGAATAGTGTTTTACTGCTGTGGATTATTCCAACAGGTTTATTAAAGGTGTTTGCTAACCTCAGTCATCCTGTTTCACTTTTGATGTTGTGAGGTCAGTTGATTAGAGAGAGGGACTGGTAGAAGAAATTTGATGGATGAATTTCCAGAGTGTAATAAAATGTATCCATACTGCAGATTGTTCTTGATATGCTGCTCTTAGTCCATTTTAAATRCAGTCTGTAATGGCAATTAATGTTTTTGGAAAAGCAAAGACTTGGGAAGCTGCAGAAGAAATTTCTTGTATTTAGATTCTTGAAACAAAAAAAGAAGTGAAGGGTAACAAGTGGAGGGAAAAAACCCTGGACTTGTTTCATGTGCCCACACACACTTCCACATTTAATGTCCTGCTTACCTTTTATTTATGTGCTCAAAGTGGGAAATGCAAATTTCCCCACTAAGAGTGGCTGTCCTGGAGTTTGTTGTCAGGAGGATTCTGCTGTCAGGGTAATGGGGACTGAGGGCAGTAATGGCATGAATGATATGGAGGATTTTCCTGTGATTGAGAGGTTTTATTGAGATGAGATACTGGCAATGCCTGTGAGCTTGTTCAGTGTGCTGCTATTTTTTATCCTTAATAATTTATTTTGCAGCTATAAAAACTGTTTCTGTGTGTTTTGTAAATACAAATTTTGACTTGTGGCGGTTGCTTTTCATGGTAGATTTTTTATTTAGAAATTTATGGATGTATCTGTACAAAAAAAAAACCAATGAAATTACCAAAACCATAAAAACAAGCAAGCAAAACCCCCAAAATCAGAACCAGCTGCTTGTTGAGGATTTCTCTGAGTTTGTGTAGTGTTGAGGATGTTTTAAAAGGGCAAGTTCTGCATGACAGAATTGATAGTTGGGTGTGAAGGACTAAAATCCAGAAATTGTTTTCACCATCTGAGGGCAGCAGTGACTGCAGCAGGGCACAGCCAGGGGATCCCTGCACTTGCACAGTAAGAATTTCAGAAGATCTCTCATTTCTCATTCCACAAGAGAATACAGGTTACTATATACTCTACAGTTTGAGCTTGCTCCAAGAATTTTGTCTATTTTCTTAGGAAAATAAAAGCTTTCTCTTTTTTTTTTTTTCTGATACAATGCTAGAATGAGCTAGTTTAAAATATAAGATGTTGATATGCTATGGCTTTAGAATTTAATTGTTCTCTCACTCTCTCTCACACACACATCAGGAACCAGCAGAGCTGCAGYCTTKCCAAGTTACAAACTTCTCAAGTTGATGGTTTCCAAAAGCCTATGAGGTTCATGAAGCCACCTTTCAGGAAATTTATTGGGAGACCTCATCTGGTAAGCTGAAATGTAGAAATAGTCACTCCTGCACTGTTGATGTATAATTCATATTTTGATACATTGTCTATGCTGATATAAATTTAGTAGTCTGTGATGTCTTGACCTTTCAAATTTTGAGTGAGGCTTTTTTATCTTCTGTCTGTACTCAACAATAAAACTACTCATAATTTTATAGTTCAATAGTACTTCTCAGGTATTTCTTGAAGCAGAGTGGGCAAAAAACACTTTGATAGCACTCCYTTTTCTTTTTGTAAAAGGAATTTGTGTCTAATATCACTTTTCTTCCACATAATGGTGTAATTACCAAAATGATAAAATCAAAATCCTTATTATTGAGTAGATAATCTGAGCTAATGTTAAATAGTTGGAGAAAAAGAATGCTCTSCTGTATTCTAGTTGTCAGTGGTTGGAAAGGAAGGCCTGAATCTTGTGTAGGTGGTATTGTTACTGAAACAGTGTTTCTCCTCATTATGATAAAAGTTCTGAAAAGCACTTACTTTAAATAAAAATGGGGTGCAAATCACAGAAATAATGAGACGTGTGAAATAATGTTCCTGAGGATGTAATGTTAAACAGTGGCATATTATATATCCTGAATATTGCATTTATAAAACCTAGCTTTGGACAATTATTCTTTAGGCTATTTTTCTGTGGTGTACTTTGATACTAAAATGGGCAAGAGAGTAATATTAGGTTCAGTAGAAATAAATTTGTCTCCTGGAAAATTCCTGCTAAAGAAATGTAGACAATTCCAAGTGTTTGTGCTTGTTTAACTTGGGGAACCAGTGAGCCCAGAAAAGCTTTTTTAATGTGTGCAGCATAATCCTAAACCAGTTTTTCTTTCTTTCTGATGGCTGCAGAATAAGGAGAGTAACCTAAGTTGTCATTCTTTATACACTGTAGCTAATAACCTGTGGAGAGGGTTCCAGAAACCCATGAAACTTTTCTTAGGTCCATGAAAAATAGCTTTCACATAGTCCATTCTGAAATGGAGCTGCTTTGCTGGCAAAGTGGCTGGATAGTGCCTGCTGGTAGCAAATAGAGAAGAAATCTTTTRTTTTCTGTTGCTTCTGTGTTCAGTCTTTGCTTTTGCTTTATTAAACTGCCTTTGKCTTGACCCATGAGGTTTTTTTTAATTTTATTTTCTCCCTCCCAGCCCTGCTGAGGAGGGGAATGATAGAGCTGCTTGGTGGGTATCTGGTATCCAGMCAAGGTCAACCCACCACAGTAAACTGTAATTGCAAATARAAAGGAGGTTGGTTTTAAATAGACACTGAGTTATTGCTGAATGTGCTGAAGGTTCAGGAAGATTGCATTTTCATGTTTAATAGTGAACTGCAAACATGCAACTTTTAGCAAGTCCTGCACTGCAGTAATGARTTCCCTTTGGAACAGCAGTAGCTGTAAAAGCATGGCTATTAAAAATGCAAAACATCCTAAAGAAGATATGGCTCTTCATGGTCAGCCTTGCAAGAAGCTGGTTTGGAGACAAGGAAATAAATCAAAAACTTTAGTAATCAAAATACAATATTTGTGATGTTAATAGTCAATAATTGGGAGCTGAGCTTAAACTTGACAAAAACTCAGGCTTGGAAGGTACAATTGTGTGTCTAAACTTGATTCTAAGAATTATCCATTTAGCCTTGTCCTTACAAAAGGAGGCCAGCTAAACAGTGAAGTAGAAAATCAGAACAARTATATATTTATTTCTATTCCCTCTGCTCTCTTTTATCTTTTTTATTTTAAAGCCTCTGTTTTAGGAAGCTCCTGAAAAGTGGTTTGTTGTACCTTTGCATGAAGTAGTTCTACTGCTCATATTTCTGTGAATGTACTTTAGTCTTAAGGAAGGTGGGGATGGGAGGGCTGGATCCACAGTTTAATTAAGACAAGCTTTGTTTTCATTCCTAGGTGTTTATTTTTTAACTATAATGGGAACTCCCAGCTTTAAGGAAGAAAGAGTGTACTTCAGCTGGGATCTTCCTGATTTAATTGTGTTGAATTTAGAAAGTTAATTTGATTATGTGGAGTGTCTTCATTTTCTTAGAATAAGAAGGGAACTGGAAAGCTTCTATCTTTTTCTTGAAAAAGCAACCCTGATTACTTTGATTTCACTTCATAAAATCTTTCTTCCTTTCTTTTTGTTCTCTGAATCCCTTCTTGTCAAAGCATTGTAAGAAGCTAAATAGAAGTTGACTTGTAGGCAATAACATAATCTGAAAAAAAAAGCTGGCTTAAATCCTAGTTAAAAGTTAYCTTGGATTCTACCACCATTGCATTGTATTAATGGAATAATASAATTCCTCCTTGCACCATTAATAACAGTGTTACCAGAAAGGTTTGGTRGTTTGTTTAAGGACAGCAAAGCAATAAATGCATTTGCATTTATTATTAAATCTTAGTATATTTGAAATATTTCAGGAGKGTTCTCTTCTTAGGTTCTTTTTAAAATGTATTTTTACTTTTTTCTAAAATTTATTTCAAACTGGTAAAATTTCCTTTAAGGAAATAGTTCAACAGCACTGGAATGCTTCTGTGATGGTTCAAGAATGGACCATAAACAAATAAATTTATTTGGTTGCCAAGTGTTCATTGGCAAGTCTGCTCTGTCTGCATTAGAGRAYTCTCATGTAGTATATGTGCTTCTGTAAATATTGATAATCTTATGCAATGATGGAAGAGAATGACATCCTCTAGAAGCAGCAGTCATAGGGAAAGTTGGAAAAGAGCCAGAATGTGCAGGTAGGTCAGGGGCTGGAGGAGTTTTCTGCTTTAGGCAGCTGTGGCTGTTTGACTGTGCTGACAAACAATTTCAGTGCTAGTTATCCGTGTGACTTGTGTTTGACATTGTGCTTCTGTGGCAGGCAAGCAATTCTCAAATCTGTGTACAGAG